CCGCTGCTGCTTCTGGCAGCCCTTGCGAGGCTCCTGGGTCCCAGTGAGGTAAGGCGACCCGCTGCTGGAAAGGCTTCGGCTCGGGATCTCAAGCACTTCGCCGAAAGTTCGTCCTGGAAAGAATGGCTCGCCGAGAGGGGACTGGGAGCTTCCCCGCTGGCGGGCTGGGCCTGCGGGGAGGGCAGGGCCCTTGCCGAGTGCAGCGCCCCAGCTCTGCGCCTTGGACCCACAGGTGGTGGCTGAACCGACAGAGGAGGCGGGAGCTCGTTGTCCCAATGGCCTGTGGCCTCTGCCCCCGCAGGTAGTAGCCTTGGAGGGTTGAAGGAGAGAAGAGTGTGAAGGGGTAGCCCAGTCCCACCCTGGCCTCGCCACACCCTCCACAGTTTACCCTCTGGGGACCTCTGCTGGTTCCTCCTGCTCTTAGTCACCAACTTCTCCATCCCGCCTGGCATTTGGGGCCTGCTGTTCCCTCCCCACCCCACACACGGATTCCTTCAGCTGCTCTAAGCTTTCTTTTTTCCCCACGTATAGGTGTCACCAAGGGTGACCTACACACCAAGGGTGAGCCCAGGGCAGGTAAGTTCAAGCAGGGACCCATCCTTGACATCTACACCTGGAGAAAGCGACCTCTTTGCAGACTTCCTCCACCTTTTCTGCTGATCAGCTCCATTCCTTACCACTTCCCTCAGGAAAAGGCAAGGTTTCTAGTTACCCACTCCACCCTCCAGCTCAGGACGGGATCAGTCCCAGGACAAGTGGCCCAAGGACAGTGAGCCATAGGCCTGTCCTTTGCAGTGTCGAGGCAGGAATGCTGTTGGGTACCTGGCTGTGTGGACAAGTTCTGAGGGTATTAGGAAAAACCCAGGCCCCAATTCCCCTGCGGGACTATGGGAAGTCTCCTGGCTTTCTGGACCCCAGTTTTCTGTAAGCAGACGATATTAATTCTGTCCCTAGCCGGGCTCGGTGGCTCAGCCTGTATTCCTCCGCCTTTGGGAGGCTGAGGTGAGTGGATTGCCTGAGCCCGCGGGTTCGAGACC